AATATGCTAAAACACATAACTGGAGAAAAATCTTTCTAGCATTGATAACTTTTTTATAGTATACTTAATGGCATACTTTCATAGGAACATATTACAGGAAGAAGTTTATATTTGAACTTTATAATCATGACAAGGAAGACTACATGGAAATTGAGAATAAAATATACTGTAGTAAATATGTTCTGAGCTTTTTGAAATTCAATTTGTTTTTGTAAGCTTGGGGCACAGATGAGATCTGGGAGAAGCTTTTCAACACAACATATTTGCCATCAAATTTTTGGTTACAGCATCAATCCAAGAAAATTGCCAATGCTGTTTTCTCTGTGTCTTACTGTTTAATAATTAAAATACCTTTTCCCATGGGATGCCCAGGTGACTCAGTCAGTTAAGCGTCCAGCTCTTGATTTTGGCTCAGGTCCTGATCTCAGGGTCATGAGATCAAGTCTGCATCAGGCTTCACCTGGCATGGAGACTGCTTAGAATTCTCTCTCTCCCTTTCCCTCTGCCTCTCCCCACCCCACTCATGCTCTCTGCCCACCCCCCAACAAAAATTAAACAAATTAAAAAAAAATAAAATAACCTTTTCCCAATTATGTGACATACTATGAAGGATGTTTTCTAACTTTTAGATTTTATGTAAAGTTTAATTCAAAACTAGGTATGAAAAGGATACTTGAAATTTGTGTGTGTGTGTGTGTGTGTATAAGTGTGAATTCACAAACTTTATAATGATGATTTTCAATGTTATTGTGAGATATTACAATGGAGATAAAAGATCACTAAGTAATTTTTATTTTAGAAAATGTGTCAAGTCATTAGATATTTCATTTGAATACCTTTTTTGTCACTTTTTGACTGGGAATTCTCTTACTGAGAGTTTCCTGCTGGTATAAACTCTAGGATTGTTTTAACCAATTCTATCAAACTACTAAGTCCAAATATAGCTTCCCCCATTGTATGAAAAGTTCTGTTATAGGGATGCACTGACAAAAACTACTGGACACTTCTCAGCAGTGTGAACAATTGCTGAGATGCAATGATACACTTACTCCATTAAAGCACCTGGCCAACTGTTAACCTGTCTCAATACTGAGATTTCTTAAGTCCTTGAGTCTGGGGCGGTGGGACTCTTTCAAATACTTGAATCTGGGGTGAGGAGTAATCCTTGTCCTAACTAGGACTCTGATTTCCACTTCGGGTGCACCGTGAACGATGGAATTCGGCAATCCATAAAGACACAAAATGTGTTCCCGGGTATAGATGCAGAAATAATCATTTTACTTTTCACATATGTCAGTCAGAGGTATAAGTTCTGTTTCACAGTCTTCCAGTGATCCTTCCCCTATAATGTACCATTCTCAACATTCATCAGCATACTTAGAGGGCTTACTGGAACCAGATTATTGGGGCTTACCTACAGAGTTTCTGATTCAATAGGTATGGGATAGGAGTGAGCATCAGCATTTCTAACAGGTTTCCAGGGCATGCTGATGCTGATGCTCCAGAAAGGACACCAGGAGAACGATTGCTTTGATCTGACTTTCTCAGTCAGATTCTCAAATCTTCAATCAGAACCTCCTGGATTGCCTAGGAATCTTCAGATCATCACGACCTATGATGATGACCTAAATCCAAATCTCCAGGGCAGTGTGATAATGATTTGCCTTTTGTCAAGCTCCTTAGGTGTTCCAGGTATACATCTACATTTGAGAAGCAGTTCCGGGGAGGGCCAGGGATACCGTTAGCCGGAGAAAACACGATCATGTCTCCTCTCAAACATTGCCAGTGTTATACCCATGGATTGGCATCTAGTAGTTGTTTTATATATAGTAAATGAATTAATGAAAATGAATGAATGCAAGCAATCAGTTGATATTCCTTTTTGTTTCCAGCACTTATTCTTTATTCTACTATAGAATATATCATCCATATTTCAACTACTTGTTTACTTGACTGCCTCCATCTAGACAGACACCTTATCTTTTTGTTGTATCTCCAGGGCCAAACCCAGCATCTGGCACCTAATATGTATATTATCAGTATTTGTTAGAGTAAATGATTGTAAATGTTGAGTAGAATATCTCTTCGGGTTGGTCTGAAAAAGATGTGTGAATTGTTAAATTCCCTTGATTTCTTTGAATATACATTAAAATGTAGGAAGAGGAGGGCCAGCACAGTGGATTCAAGTATAATGTGAAGACTGAGACCAAGGCTAGAAAAGCCACAGGCAAGTGTGAAGGAGTAAGGTGGTACCAAGATACAGCATGACGTCAGGGGTCTGGAGCATAAAACATTACATGTTCAGCATATATATGCAGTTGGAACAATGACATTTTTGAGGTGAAGAGAATAAGTGGGGGAACAAAAAGTGGATTATATAGGTTTGATGAAGCTAGTGTGCGCTAAGAATTTTTTGGGTGGTCAGAAATGAGAACATTAAGGGATATAAAAAGAATTAGAACATGGCAGGGGCGCCTGGGTGGCTCAGTGGGTTAAGCCGCTGCTTTCGGCTCAGGTCATGATCTCAGGGTCCTGGGATCAAGTCCCGCATCGGGCTCTCTGCTTGGCAGGGAGCCTGCTTCTCTCTCTCTCTCTCTCTCTCTCTCTCTCTCTCTGCCTGCCTCTCTGTCTACTTGTGATCTCTCTCTGTCAAATCAATAAATAAAATCTTTAAAAAAAAAAAAGAATTAGAACATGGCAAATTAAGTCAGGCACTTCATCCATTCCAAATTACAAATTACAGCCTCCCTGAACAGATTTATAGTTCCCTGTTTTTTTGTTTCTGTTTTTAAGATTTATTTTGAGAGAGAGAGAGCATGCGCATGGTAGAGTAGGGGCTAAGAGAGTCTGAAGTGGACTCTGCTGAGCATGGAGCCTAGGCCGATCTCTGTCTCTCTACCCTAAGATCAGGACCTCAGCAGAAACTAAGAATCCAATGTTCGACCGGCTCTGTCACCCAGGTACCCCTATCCTGTTTTTTAATATAGTCTTTTTTTTTTTTTTAAGATTTATTTATTTATTTATTTGACAGAGAGGGAGAGATCACAAGCAGGCAGAGAGAGAGAGAGGAGGAAGCAGGCTCCCTGCTGAGCAGAGAGCCCGATGTGGGTCTTGATCCCCGAAACCTGGGACCATGACCTGAGCCGAAGGCAGAGGCTTCAACTCTCTGAGCCACCCAGGTGTCCCTTTTTTTTAATAGCCTTGTTTAATTTCCTATTCCATGCTTCCCAGACTTATCTCCTGGATTTCAGTCCTCTCCTTATTGTACTCATAAATCACCTGAATTTTCAGTCTTTTGTCCAAACAACCTAGATTCCTCATCTTTAGTCCATTCTGTTCTTTGAGATCTGTGTGTATTTGTACTGGATTGGCTGCCACCATGTGTCTTCCAGTCATGGGCTGGTGCTGATCACGAACATTTTACTTTAAGTCTGTCTGGGGTTGTAAGGTCCGTGCACTAGATTGGTAAGTTTTGCCACTCAGTCCTTGTAGTCCCCACTGTACTTTCCTTGTTTATATAATTTGGTGCCACCTGGCTCCCTTTCCAAAAGCATGTAGGGACACGTTAGTTTGTACTTCTATTTCAGTTCTTTTTATTTAGAAATGAAATGCCAAAGTATTTCTAAGGACAATGGTTTTATGACCAACCAGAGGTTCAGAGCCTAAGAAGGTCTAAATCTTCTTTCAAATTATGTTAAGAATCACATTTCCAGAAGTAAATGCATATTAAAACCATACAAAGATCTTTTTAGTTTAGATTCTGGACTCAGAACACTAAAGGCAGGGTTGTTTTTTTTTTTTCATTTACTAATTAAAACTTTGGCATAACTCAAAAGTCATGAGGTATGTAAGAAATTATTCATGAATGTCCCACTCATTGCAGGACAACCAGCATTGTTTGATAAGCTGACTAAAAGGCACATCTCCCACCATATGGTATACCAAAACATGCCCACAATTTCCCAAATGCCCAGGAAAGGTTAATGCCACTTCTAAAGAGAACCATTGATTTGAACTATTCCATTTTCAATTTTTGGGATTGGGAAGGAACCCACAGAACATGAATCCTCAAAACCTGAGCAAAATTGGCAAAAAGGAGAAAGGATGACTATTGGGTAGACATCCACTAGTGTGTGCCACAAGAAACAAGCTAGACAATATCATATAAGATTCTTTCTATGTATAAAGTTGGAACTATTTAATGTTACAAAATACAATATAAGTTTATTTATGTGTAAACAATAATCATGCATAATGGATATTTACATTAAGTATATTCATAAATCATGATTCAAAATTTTAAGGACATACTCTTCAATTGGTAAATATAATAGGGAGAAGAACTCTTAAAGATAAACAAAAGATACAAAATCAAGATATTTAAATCTAAGCTTGCAAAGAATAAATAGATGTCATGTAGCATTTTAGAATAATGTTAATTTGGACTAAAATTATTCAATGTTTAATGTAAGATAATAGCATTTTTGGTGTTATTGAGAACAGATGAAGTTAACACTATTTAATTCAATTTACCTAATTAAAAAATTAAACTGCACATTATCTTGTATCTCGTTTCTTTCTGAGAAATGGATATAGATACAATCTCTTATCCTTTCTCCTATGATTTTATAATGGATGACTAGGAATCAACTCTGAAATTTCTAGCCTAGGCAATGGACCCAGTATGTTTAGTACATGTTTGCTTCATAAATAATTAAATGGTTTTAATGAAACATTCAGAAAAGATTATATAGATCTAATGTAAGATTATTTTATTATTAATAGTTTTAATATTGAAAACAAATTTTTCTATGTATTTTTCTGAGTTCATTTACTCCAGATTATCTTACATAGATGAATACATATTTTTTATATGAAATACAGGTTTATGTAATGATGATAGAAGACTATGAATTAGTATATTAAAAGAACATGCTTTTCTATATCTTGCTATCATTCTGTTTGTTCATTTTCTCATGTTTTTGTTGTTCTTTTCACAGGGATTCGATAAACAAGTGGATGTGTCATATATTGCCAAACATTACAACATGAGCAAAAGCAAAGTTGACAACCAATTCTACAGTGTGGAAGTGGGAGACTCAACCTTCACAGTTCTCAAGCGCTACCAGAATTTGAAGCCTATTGGCTCTGGGGCTCAGGGAATAGTTTGGTGAGTGGAATATATATACATATTTATTTATTTATTTATTTATTTATTGAAGTATAATTGACATACAGTGTTTTATTAGTTTCAGGTGTACAACGTATTCAACACTTCTATACATTACTCTGCTCATCATGATAAATGCAGTCACCATCTGTCACCAAATATTACAATCTTATTCACCATATTTTCTATGTTGTACTTTTCATCTCTGTGACTTCTTTATTTTATAACTGGAAGTTTGTGCTTTTAATCCCCTTTATCTGCTTCACCCATCCCCCTGCCAGCCTCCCCTCTGACAACCACCAGTTTGTTCTCTCTATTTAATAATCTGGTTTTTGGTTACTGTTTGTCTCTTTGTTTTGCTTTTTAGATTCCACATGTGAGTAGGATGGTATTTATCTTTCTCTGTCTGACTTATTTCACTTAACTTGTCTTTTTAAAGGCACTAATGCTGTGTTTGCCAACTAGCCACAAATACACACACAGACATAAATAAATAGCATGATTTGAGAATTACAAGCATTATTTGTAATTCATTACCCATTTACTAAAAGTATGTACAACTTTGCTTGTCACTAGTCTTTCTATTCACCAAAAATGTCCATTACACAACCATGGAGAAACAAAGAAAGCCAGAGGTTTTCTACCTGTTGCTAATACATTTAGAAAATTTTATTTGGATGTTTATGAAGGTAAGAAATGAGGGGCTATGTGTTAAGATAACAAGCAAATAAAATTTCCTGCACTCTAAGAAAGTATAAATGATATATCAAGTGTTCCTGTCACTTTTAGAATTCAATATTTAAAATTCAGTTACCTATTAGAAAAAGTGGTATTTAAAAATGTCTGTTGTACATTTCCAAAATGGAAAGATTCTGGGCTCCCTTAGTAACCATTCTCTTATGACATTTTTGAGTAGCAGTCTAAAATGATGACAAATCAAAGCTTGATTACTTGTTATAAAATTCTTACAAAAGTGATGATACCAAATTGATAAGCATTTAGTTTACACAGTTTTAACTTGCAGTGTAGCCATCAAATGTATTTAGTATGAATTTATTAACATAATTTTCAACTTGATAGCTCATACTTGTAAGTAAAAATTTAGCATGTACACCATAAATATGTATATTTATTTTTAGAAGATATTTACTTAGATCAATACACTTATTTGTTATATAAATTACTGTTACATTAGTGTTGTCCATTTGGAAACACGAACACTTTTAAACGATGAGCTAAAGATGAAATAAACATTATTTAAAAACATATTTTGGGGTGCCTGGGTGGCTCAGTGGGTTAAAGCCTCTGCCTTTGGCTCAGGTCATGATCCCAGGGTCCTGGGATCGAGCCCTGCATCCGGCTCTCTGTGCGGCAGGGATTCTGCTTCCTCCTCTCTCTCTGCCTGCCTCTCTGCCTACCTGTGATCTCTGTCTGTCAAATAAATAAATAAATAATCTTAAAAAAACCCCATATTTTATTTATAACCTTTTTTCACTCATTTGGTACAATGTAATTTTGATGATAGCAATGTGGTAGTGGTAGTGTTCATTATTTTTTAACCTTTCATTTTATATTTCATAAACAATTTTAAAATCTGGTTCACTTCATTTTTTATTTTTTTAAGACTTTTTTTTTTAAGAAAAATGGTTCACAGTAAAATTGAGAGAAAGGTACAGAGATTTTCCATATTCCTCTATATTCCTCCTACCTCCACACATGCATAACCTCTTCCATCATCAACATTCCCCCACAAAAGTGGTACATTTACTACAATTGATACATTAATACATCATAATTACTAAAGCCCATAGTAAACATTAGGGTTTATTCCTGGTGTTGTACTTTCTATGGATTTAAACAAATGTAAAATGATATGTATTCATTATTATGGTATCATACAGAGTATTTCCACTGCCTTAAAAATTCTTTATACTCCACATGTTCATCCCTCCTTTTACTCCGAACTCCTGGCAACCATTGATCTTTTTACTGTTTCCATAGATTTTAAAGATTATTTATTTATTTCTTTGAGAGAGAGACCAAATGCAGTGGTGAGGAGCAGAAGGAGAGGGAGAGGCAGACTCCCTGCTTACCAGGGAGCCTGAGGCGGGGCTCCGTTGCAGGACACTGAGATCATGACCTGAGCCAAAGGCAGACGCTTAACCAAGTGAGCCACCCTAGCACCATTTTATTGTTTCCATAAATTTGCCTTTTCCAGGATGTCATATAGTTGGAATCAAACAGAATATAGACTTTTTAGATTGGCTTCTTTCACTTAGTAATATGTACGTCAGGTTCTTTCATGTCTTTTCATAGATTGATAACTCATTTCTTTTTGTCACTGAATATTTCATTGTCTAGGTATGCCACAGTTTATCTCTTCACCTGCTTTAAGACATCTTGGTTTGTTCCAGGTTTTGGTAATTATAAATAAAGCTGCTTTAAATATCCATATACAGGTTTTTGTGTGGACATAAATTTTAAAGTTTCACTTCATTTTGATAACAGGTTTTAAGTTCACTCTCAATGCTTAGTGAAAATGGCAGCAGTGCATGGTTGGTGCATTTGTAAATAATTTACTAGCATTTCAACCTGATTTATCAAATATACCAAAGCTTTTATTGAAATTTATGTCAATTAGTTGGTGTTTTTGCTATTAAAAACTGGAACAGTTTAATATTTTTAACAATGGATCAAAACTTTTATTTCAAAGATATTTAGGTAAAGAAATTCTTATTCTTAGTTTTTATTTATTTATTAGTTATGGTGAGGGTATGAGGTGAACCTCTTTGTGACACAAAATAATTTCTTGACATGGAAGGCAGAATAATGGTCCTGCCAAAGACACCCAGACTCTAATCCCCCAGAATCCTTAACTATGTTATTTTATGTGGCAAGAGGGATACTGTGGATGTGATTAAGTTTAAGGGCATTATTATGGGGAGTTTATCCTGAGCTTTCAGGAGATAACAGTCAAATTACATGAGTTCTTAAAAAGTGGAAAAGAAAGGCAGAAGAGGAGGTCAGAGAGATGCAGTGGGAAAGGAGAGATGAAATTTAAAACATGAGAAAGACTTGCTTTATTGTTGCTGGCTTTGAAGACAGAGGATGAAGGTCATGAGTCAAAGAAGGGGGTGGCTTCCAGAAGCTGGGAATGGCTATCAACTGCCAACCAGCAAGAATACATAGACTGCATTAGAGTCATGCAACCACAGGGAATTGGAATCTCCCAACAAACCCAAACGAACATGGAAACAGATTCTCTTCTAGCACCTCCAGAAAGGAATCAGTCTGCTAACATCCTGACTTTAGCCTGGTGAGGCCCACATAAGGACTTTGGACCTGCAGAACTGTCAGATAATAAATTCGTGTTGTTTAAGCAGTTAGGTTTGTGGAGGTTTGTTGTGCAGCAGTACTAATACAGACAGTATAATAAAGATTCTACTATTAAGTTAAATGCTGTAAATCTCTTAGAGCAGGCACACTGAACTATAATGTTTTCAGAGGAAGGAATTTATGGTGCCACTGTCAATCTCCCTCAAACTATGGAATTTCTTTTTTCCTTTCAAAAATTTTTTACCCTAGGTGATATGAGACCAACTGCTAGAGCGGGATAATATGTGTTTGGGAGGGACCAATATTAATTTGTTTATTAAATATTAATAATTTTAATTTACTTTCTACATTATAATATATGTTTATATTTTCTGCATTCTACTAGATGTCTTATATACTACCTGGGGAGTGGGAAATCTATTTAGGAAATCACTGCATTTATGAACAACTTTCAAAATGTAATAGAATATAAGACAAAAAAATTTTTATGAAGGAGAAGAGACAGGAAATGGAGAAAGCAGAGGGATTTCTGGTTATCTTTCTTCAAAGGAAAATTGTAGAACATAGGAAAGTTTTGTTACATTTCTCAGTTCATACTCATTGAGATTGTTTTATTTTCCTTTTAACAAAACTGTCACAGAAAATGAGGACAGTAGTGAAAGTAAGCTAATAGATTTTTAATGATTGAAATGATTGAAAAATAGACCCAAAGCAACATTTTTCTCAAGAAGTTAGCAGACTGTCCCAGAAACATCTGAAAAGCTACTAAAAATTTTGTGGAATATTTTTGGGACATTTTGCTCTTCTATTTCTCCTTGTATAGGGCAGAAATCACCTTAGGTCTTAGGTATACTAACTGAAATAGATTTTAATAAATAAAATGTCCTTGAGTAAAATTTTTAATCTAGTTTTACAACAAGTTTATCAGCAGGTTTGTCAGTAAGGACACCTGAGTTCCAAAATGTTAGCCTTGGAGTTTCCTGGGATTATTATTAGTCTTTTGGTTTATAGCTGAGGGAAATAGAGCTAGCAAAGACCAAGATGAAAGGATAAAAATAGGATGGCATATTCCTCTTCCTTATCTTCCAGCTCGCTACTCTACTTTGTGCATAGACACCACAATTCCAGCACATTCCTTTCCCGACATGAATATAGTTGTCCCTCTTTCTCAACATAGTTTGAGATATCTTTGTTTATCTGTCATGACTTAGGTTAATAAGTATACTATTTCTCTTGAAGATCCATTCTTTTATTATTTTTTCCTCTCTATCTGCAGCCTTTAATTTAATTTCCTTTTTATTGCCTTTTGTCATTGGTGAGTTTATCCACCTCTCCTACATCAAACACACATCCATTTTCAGACATATTTCTAAAATCTACAGACCATTCCTCTGTTCATGAACACTCAAATTTGTGTATTTTGAATGTCCCATATAATCCTGAGTATAGTGATTGGGAGAATTTGGGAATTAGGAGTATCTGGGGACCTTGGGCATTGGAAGCAGATAACCCGAAATAGATGATTCATTTATTTTGGCTTATTTTCTTTAGAACAGGAATAAAACATGGAGGAACCAGTTCCCAAAGAGATATTTATCATCAATTTTTGTTTTTTATGTGCCACTACAAAATTTTGTGTGTTTGTATAATAAGGATTTTGCTTT